GTGGGAAGGTGCTTGGAGTGGGTCGGTGGGTAGGTCCTTGGAGTGGCTCGGTGGGTAGGTGCTTGGAGTGGCTTGGTGGGTAGCTGCTAGGAGTGGCTCGGTGGGTAGGTGCTTGGAGTGGCTCGGTGGGTAGGTGCTTGGCGTGGCTCGGTGGGTAGGTGCTTAGAGTCGCTTGGCGGGTAGGTGCTATGAGTGGCTTGGTCGGGTAGGTGCTTGGAGTGGCTCGGTCAATAGGTGGTTAGAGTGGCTTAAGGTGCTTGGAGTGGCACGGTCTGTAGGTGCCTGGAGTGCCTCGGTCGATAGGTGCTTGGAGTGGCTCAGTCGGAAGGTGTGGGAGTGGCTCAACGGGTAGGTGCTTGGAGTGGCTCCGTCGATAGGTACTTTGAGTGGCTCGATGGGAAGGTGTTTGGAGTGGCTCGGTCGGTAGGTGCTTGGAGTGGCCCGGTGGGTAGGTGCTTGGAGTGGCGCAGTGTGTAGGTGCTTGGAGTGGATCGGGGTGTAGGTGCTTGGAGTGGCTTGATCGGTAGGTGCTTGGAGTGGCTCGGTCGGTATGTGCTTGAGTCACTCGGTCGCAAGGTTCTTGGAGTCGCTCGGTCAGTAGGTGCTTGGAGTAGCGGGGTGGGTAGTTCCTTGGAGTGGCACGGTGGTAGGTGCTTGGAGTGGCTGAGTGGGTAGGTGCTTGGAATGGCTCGGTGGGTAGGTGGTTGGAGCGGCTCGGTCAGTAGGTGGCTGGAGCGGGTCGGTCAGTAGTTGCTTGGAGTGCCTCAGTCGGCAGGCGCTTCGAGTCGCTCGGTCAGTAGGTGCTTCGAGAGGCTCGGTTGGTAGGTGCTTGGAGTGGCTTGACAGGTAGATGCTGGGAGTGGCTTGGTCGGTACGTGCTTGGAGTGAATTGGTGGGTAGGTGCTTGGAGTGGCCCTCTCGGTATAGGTGCTTGGAGTGGCTCAGTCTGTAGGAACTTCGAGTGACTCGCTGGGGAGGTGCTTGGAGTGCCTCGGTCGGTAGGTGCTGGAAGTGGCTCGGTCGATAGGCGTTTGAAATAGCTCGGTCAGTACATGTGCTTGGGGTGGCTTGGTCGGTATAGGTGCTTGGAGTGGCTCGGTCATTATAGGTGCTTGGAGTGGCTCGGTCGGTAGGTGCTTGGAGTGGCTCGGTGGGTATGTGCTTGGAGTGGCTCAGTGG